GTTAGCCATAACACAGAAAGAATTGCAAATTTTCGCCGTCACTGAGATTTGAACTCTAGACCTGCCACTTGGGGGTTAACTACCTATCCACTTCACTAGGTCGCCACACCCCTAATCAGGTAGTAGTTATATAGTTGGTTGGAAGGTTTTTATATAAACCAAATGTTTACTAATTAATTTGATAATAACATATTTTAGAGGGTTTTTTAGCAATATTGTTTTATCAAAAGATGATAAAAAATGGATTGAATCTTCATCATAAATAATTTGCCAAGGAATTTCTTGTGTACTATTCACTAAGTTATCATTTGCACTAATATTAACAGTTATAATAACTTTTATATTAATCGATAATGATAAAATGCCATATAGCATATTTTTTTTTGTATATTGCAGCAATAAAAATTTAAGATGGTTGCTTCTGATAAGAATAAATCGATTATATGAATCTTGAGCACAAGAGTACACAAGATAGTTATTGTGATAATGTGCATGTTTTTTTGTTTCTTCAAAGTTAAGCTGAACACAAAAATTATTTTTTGTTATAAGGAAAGTAGCATCTCTCTACTCCTATGAGCTAATTCAGTTATCTCCAAGAATTCTTAAACTCAAAGCAGAACTTTGATCTTCTGTGAGATTTTCTTCACATATATTTTTAAAAATGCAAGCATAATTAGAATTATCTAATTAACACATTTGTTTTTTTAGAATTATAACATATTTAACATTTAACCAAAGATTTCTTCCTATAATGTTAACAACAAAGTGGATATTAACTGATAAAGATTTTTGTTTTGAAAACTTTGGCTTTTGGATACAGACTGTGGCTTAAACTGAGTGAATATGTGAGCAAATTTGTCTGGCATATATAATGCAGAATCTAAAACTGGAGGTAATTGCATAAAATTACCAGCAAACATGATGTTAATCCTAGCAAAAGGGATGTCATTATCTGTTGCTTTTACTTTTTTCATAAAAGCATGAAGTAAGTAAGAAGCTTTTGACCAACTATAAAGATCTTATCTATAATGAGATATTCTATCAGAGTCTAATATTTCTGGAGTTGCTGTAATAAATCTTCAGACAAACTATGCTTATCTTTAAAGAATTCTTTAAAACCAAATCCACACATGGAATGAAGAGTATTTCCTTTAATTTTTGCAGCAGCACTTCCTGTTGAAGCTAGGACAAGAAGAGTATTTTGTTGTGAACAGCATTTAAAGTAAGAAGAGATAGCATCAATAATTTTAAATTTACCTATGCCACCTGCACCAATAAGATATAATAGTAACTGAGATGGTTTATTTTTACTCATTAGATAGTTTCTTTAATGATGATTAAAAACAAGAAAATATGCTTTTTTCTGTTTATCATTTAAATTTGACATGAATTGCTTTAAGGGATCTTTATAATCATTTATAGATATATTCAAGGAAATGTTACAACAATTATTATTTTAAAAATCAATACAAGCATTTAAGAGAGCATTATCTTTTGCATTGTTATTAGAAAATTTATGAAACATTTTTCTAGAAAAAATCATCGAGCACCAAATTTTTAAAAGCTCATCATCATCAATATTACTTTGATATATATTTAGTAAGTCGATATCATTATCAATTTTTGTGATATACAATGTAGAATTTCTTATATTAAACATTTTTCTGAACTATAAAAAGCTTATAGCATTATCTACCATTCTCACATTTTTCAGGTCAGATCTAATAATTTTTGCAGGATCAAAATTAGGTAAGTCTTCATTAGAAGGGTTATCCATCATTATATTATCATTATCCAAAACATTTGGTTCATTATTGGCACTGTACCTGGAAACAGAATGATCAATGCAGCAAGCTTTTGCAAAAATAAGATTATTTATTGCATTTTGATGTAATTTTCAGTTAAAATGGTTACTTCTGAACATTGATACAATAATTCTATATTAGAAATTATAGATTTCAAATGTGAGAACAAAGAAAAATTATTCACAAAGGATTGACAAGAGTCATTTCATGTATCATAATTCTCTTCAAGTCTATAACAGTTTCTTATAGCTTAAACAGAATAAGAATACATAGTGTATAGTGCTCAATATTTTCTATATCATCTTTTTTGGTAAATTTTTACCACTCAATATGACTACCTTTTCAGATTCTTTATTTCTACTTTTTTGGATATGTGATTTGTTCTGAGAATGTCTGTCTTCTGATTCATGATGGCTATTTGTAAAATCATACTATGAAAAAAATAACAATCATTTTCCTCTCTTGAATATTAATCTGTTAATCTTAGAAGTTCACATGGATTATTCAAACTTTTTTAATAATAGTAGCATAATTGTATAAACATATTTTACATAAAGATGAACCTTTGAACTGGTAATCAATATGAAGATTTGCAATGGTTAATTTTCTGCTAAATGATAATATAAAAAATAACTTATTTGCTTCATCTTGATTATGATCATTATTAGTAGTTGAGTCATTACTAGACTCATCAATATCTTCAATAAAGCATTGAACATCTTTGTCCACTCATTTGTAAGATTAATTTCAAAAGTTTTAAGATGAATTGTGATAAACTTATTTGTAGTATTATAATCATGAATGCCCAATAAATATGCTGAAACTTGCAAGCTCGTAAGTTCAGTTTGATTTAATATTTTGTTAAGGCACTTTGTTAAGGCACTTTGTTACAATCATATGAGATCTACTTATGAGATCAAACAAAGGTTTATCAGAAAGTTGCTTTAAAAAAGATTCTAGAGTCGAGATACAAATCAAAAAAGAGTTATGTGTGCTTAGATCTGATTTAGTAATATAATCAGTTAAATAGTAAATGTAGGCTAAGAAGAGTTTTCTAAATGTGATAAATTTTATATTGTTATTTACTCTACACATAAATGTTATATACAGATTATAATTGTTAATGAAGGCATTAGCATATTGGATAGCAATAATGCCTTAATCAGGAAAAATCATTCCAGAAGTATCAACAAGTTCTCTTGAAAATCAAATCTATAATGCTTCTGTAAGTTTTTATTGTACTTTTTACATAAACAAGTACAACAATGATATAAAGTACATTTAATGATTGCAAGCAAATTTAACTGAAAATTTTTTTCAAAATCAGATTATTCAGGATCTGGAATAGGAAAAAATAAAGAATGCATTTATTTCCTTTCTATTATTTTTGGAGTTTTATATTCTACTTCAAGCATTTTGTTTGTCAAAAATACATCCTTTCTAAGTAGATAGCAGATATCTTTATTAACAATATCACTTATATATATAAGTGGTCATTATGAAAAAGTCTCATCATCTTTAAGCTTTTGACATAACTTAATTGGATCAAGCAAGCTGTAAATCTACACAAACAAATGACAATAAGCCATTTTATGATCTTGATACTTAACAACATCATAATAATTTTTTACATTACCAAAAACACCATCTTGCTCTTTACCATACCCAACAATAATATCTAAAATGCATCTGATTATAATGTTAAAATATTTGGTAACAGCTAAAGGATCAAGATGCACTAGTTGAGCTCTTTCTGTAGTTTTTAAAAAATTTTTAGGAGATATATTTTCAAAATTAATCTTATTTCTAGCATACATTATAACAATAGGGCTGTGAAGATTGGCAGAATTTATAGTAATAAATAGAGAAGAGAAACTATCATAAAGGATAACAGCACATATTTTATTATGCATATGAGCATATGATTGGGAAGAGGCCATTAAATCAGAGCCAGCTATATTAATATTTTTGAGCAATTCATTAATTGCAGGATTTGTAATCAGAAGCTTGCTCTGTTCTTGTTTAATAGCCAATTTGTATTATTAACTCTAAGTGATAATATTAATCTTGCAGAATAGGAAAACTCTTTCTGCAAATCCTTTACACAAATCTTAACTAAAAAATCGTCCGTACAAAAACGTTTATAACTATTTATTTT